ATGAGGTTAAAACTCTTTTCTAAGTTATGCTTCCTCACCTGCAAATATACAAATGCACAGACTTTAGTACAATATTTTTATCATGTTCATTCTCCTTAGGAGTGTACACTGGATTTTTCTAGATACATGACACTTGATGCTGTGAAATATGACACTGCATCAGTATGAATGCAATAGATATGAGAATCCAGATCTCTTCTATTAAGCCAGACAGTAAAAAAAAAATTTGCAAAAGTATAAAAATAATGCTTCTTTCCACCAGCAATTTTTTCGAAAAATCATTTGTTATAAAATACAGTGTATGTATGGAATGGTTTTATCAGCATTATTTTAAAGTAAATTATTTTTTAAAGTATCTTTTAATTTCTAATACAGTAAAAACAAACAAACCTACCTCTTTGGAGTCCTCAGTAATTTTGAGAATGTAAAAGACTCCTGAGATCAAAATATGTGAGAACTGCTACATTAGTTATAGCAGATTATCTACCACTCTCTAAACATGCTCAACTTTAAAACCCCTATCCTTCCGCATGGAAATGCACCCTCCACTACCTGCCAAGTCCCAGCCAGGTCCAAAGGAACCTAGCTAGGATGCATTCTGGAGGATAAAAAGATCAGGTTTTGAAGTCAAGCAAGATACCTTACTTCTCAGAGTGCGTTTCCTTATCTCTAAAATTTAGGTTATAGCCACCTCATAAACAGCAGATAAGACACAGTGTAAAATGTATGGCACAGTGTTTAACAAATAGAAGGGATAAAAAATGTTAATCTTCTTTCTACTTAATTTATAACATCACAAACACTACTGTAGTAAGATAAAAACAATATAACAATTATTTAATCATAACAAAACAAGCAAATTGGTTGCTTTGAGCAGTTCTGTCAAGATTACTATTCGTAGAGCAGATGGTTTTATATAATAAATTCCTTGAATGCATAACTACTAAGGTACTTCTGCAGTGACCTGTGATTGATAAATTTAGATTAAAATATCAGTTAGTCTAAATGGCATTTTAACTGAGGAATGCTTGCTATAATGCCTGTTTAGCCTTAAAAAAAATCCATAAATCTTCTCCTTCATGTTTCACCAAAGTACTGTAATTCACACCTCTGCTGCATCCTGTTTTTGAAATACTCCACTGGCTCTACTTACTAAAGTATTGTTTTTATCTTCATAAGTACAACGAGAATGGGTTTTTAAACTGAAACTGCCATAACTGATTTGCAGCTTTACTGTCATCTTTTACAATTTTTAAATATTCTAGTGTATATCACATAAACTTCAGCGTGATTATAATAAATTTACTTCTTGTTTCAATACTTTAATTATACATGACAAAGCTTTAAAAAGCAAAAGAAAATTACTGAAAAACAAAAGCCCAGACATCTCTTTCTCCTTCTATCTCATCTTCTTTATTCTTCTATCTCTAGTTATATGTAACTGACTACATAAGTCAGCCATTTGAGAATACTGAAGACAGCACGATCGTTTGTTAGATGAAGATCCTAAATATCAGTCCCATATTTCAGTCTTGTGAAGTAGGCAGCATTTATCTTCTTTTAAAGTTGAGAGAACTTGGTCAATTCATTTTCTTGCAAGTGGCCGAGGTCAGAAAACTAAACAATGGCAGAGATGGTAGTAAAACCCACACATGTCAAACATAAATGGGCATCACCCTATGTACATATTTACTTCTCATGATCACTATCTGCAATTTCATAAAGACAACAAGTTGAGATAGTTGTGATCAAGTTCTGGATCTGACACAGATTATCGGTTTAACCATCAACCTGAAATCAGTTTGGTGCTGTAGTTTACACCATCTCAATACCTTAGTATTCTCTTTCACAGGATGGGGCACACAAAAGGCCAATGCCAGGAATAGACAACTCACAGAATAACGACAGGCAGAAAAGTCTCTACCTTTACTAGTCATTGAGATATTCAAATTAAAACAACACTATTTTTCAACCTCAAATTATCAAAGATCCAAGATTATTATATGAACACTCGTATGTTACCGTTAGTTGTAAAAAGTGATGCAACTTCAAAAAGTTATGCATTTACATATATAAGATATTTACATCCTTTTATCTAGTACTTCCAACACCACTGGAAGATATGCAATAATTCAAAATAAAGAAATTCTATGCTCAAGTTCTCCACAGAATTATGACACACAATAGCAGAAAATCAGCAGCCTAAACTTTCAACTATAAGAAAATGATTAAGCTATATGACAGTGGCTAGGTGAAATATTGTATAGCCACCTAAAATTATTTTTACAAAGGAAAAACACCTAAATATTAAGTTGGAAAAAACCCTAAGAATATTAAATGGCACATGTAGTATGGTCACAGAGAAGCAATAAAGACATTAACAAAGATAGCCTCTGGGTGATGGGACTATAAGAAGACTGAACAGAATAATGGAAAGACCACAGTATGAATGCCTATTCCACTTGCCTAAAAGTAAGGCATTCTTAATTACTGTTCTAGAATTTCCAAATTTGAAACAATGAACATTATCACTTTATAACTGAATAGGGTGATAACAGCTAGATTCTCCCTAAGGCTCAGTTCTCAAATGCTAAAAATTTAAAAATGAATTTTTAACCCATGTCAGAATTTAAGAATAACAGAAGAGTTTATTATTAGAAGAATCTATTAGCCTATATATTTTCTTTTTGTGGCAGAAGGGACAAAGTTTTCCTCCAGCTTTCTAGTCAAGAGAAAAAGAGGCATTAACTAGCAGACTTAATTATAGCTATTGCTTATCAAGTCACAGAATAAAAAAAGCAAGCACTGTAAAAGAACAGCCTTAGTCATCAAATCTTAAATGCAGAATCACCTAGCTATCCCTAGGTATTAGGGAAGAAAAAGGAAACTCATTTAGTCCTGGAGAAATGAAATCTCTAATAGGAATCCCTGACTCATCCCCAAAGCATGAACCCGAAGGCTACTTCCCCTGTACAGGAGTTCAGAGACTGGGCACTTGTCCTGATGGCCTGCATCACCGAACAATGCCCTTTCCTGACAGGATATGCCCATAGAGAACAAGAGGACCGACATGCCAAGTGGACAGGGCTCACACACCTCTCCTTCCACAGCCAAAGTAAGACTGTATAAAACTAGTTTTAAACATTTTAAATCTTAAGTAAATATTTTATTTTATGTTTGCTAGAAAGTAATAAAAGGGGAACTCTGTCCAATTACTGTGATATCATTTCAAAGATACCTAACACATGCAAAATTCCCAATAGGAAGAAGGAAACGTCTTCTTTAACTTTTTCAGTTAAAAGGGTAATCTGGGGGGGAAAATACATGGGCTAAGTACCAAGAGGAAATGTTTAAAATAAACCATAAATTATTTAATCAACATTTTTCACACTTTCAAAAGATACTAACAAAACCAAACTCCTATCTTCTATTATTGGTTTAGGGAGGCGAGAATCACAAAGCTCAACTGTTATGACACTGAGTAAAGTTAAGGGTTAAGAATTTTAACGCTAAAGTTTTACTAGACCGAAGTCTCTTTAAAATGTGAAAAGTATTTCGTATTTCAGTGCGAAAAGTCATTTCACCTGCACCTTGTAAACAATTAAACTGTACTTTGAAACAAAAACTACCAATGTTGGCGACTCATTTTTATACACATTAACTGTGTGTCCTTTTCACAATCCAGAATTTCAGAGTTAGGTGACTACTCCTGAAGGTGAATCTTGCCCAGAAGCAAAATTTTCCCTAGCTTATTTCCCATTTCCAAACACCGCCAAGACTAAGGAGCAACCACTTCCCAAAGTCCCACTTCCTTTTCCATTCCCCAGACCTCCAGGGTTTCCAACGCCCCAGTCTTGCGCAATATCCGTAGGAGCAGCGCCGCAACCACCGCCTCCTAAGCCGAGAAACAACCCGAAAGGGAACATTGTCCAGCAGAAAAATAAAGGAGGGGGGGTGGCAACGGAGGAAGTCGACTTCTGGTCCCACGCCTTCGGATCTGACCCCCTCGTAGTGATGGCTCGAGAGCAATTCCACGACCAAGACTTTTAACCTCCTCTCCAGCCCGCCAGTACAAGCAAAGGGCGGAAGGGGGAGGGGGACGTCGGAAGGGGGGTGGGGAGACTACGAAGGTTATCTCCCAGTTCAGGGCTTCAGCCCGTACAGTCGCCTCCGCCCCACCAGGACTATTGTTCCCAAGTTCCCCACCCCCACCCCGGATAGGAAGTGATAGTCACATCCCCTCCGCCTTCGGCAGTATCCCCTAGGGAGTCTGAAGTAGGCTTCCTTCAGGATAACCACGCACCCTCCACCCCCACGCCCTGCCTCTACACACACTTACCCCTCAACCTCAAATCACGTTGACCCCCTACACCATCTAAAACCTGGGTCTCAAGAGACAAGAGACAGGACGGCAGTAAATAGAAATCGAACATACCACGAGATTTCCTATGGACTATCCTTTCTCTAGCACTGGAGATAATACTGCGAACCCAGAAAGAGCAAAAAGTCCTACCTTGCCCTCTTTTGAGACCAGCTTGAGCAAAGGGACCCCACTAGTTAAATGCAACCTTAATAGCCCCGTTCCTCAGTCCGGCGCTATCCGCTCTCCTTCCTGCCTCGACCCTCCCAGGAGGAGCAGACTGGATGGGGAGAAGAGAAGAGCCCACCGGCCTGCACCTCATTCGCCTCCCGCTCCCAGCCCGAGAAACAATAGGTGGTCGCGGGCGGCGGCGCTGAGTGCGGGCTTGGCCAGCGGCCTCTCTCTTCGCGTCCAGACGCGGGTGGAAAGGGCCGCGATCGCAGGACGAGAGGAAAGGAGGACGAGGGGCGATCTCACCTCCCAGCCTCCGAATCCACCCGGGCCCTTAGGGTTGGCGCGCGCCCCCTCCGCCCGTCTCCTTACAGCCGCACACAAAGCGCTGGCGGCCGGGCCGGGAGGGCGAGGCGGCAGTAGGCTCGGATGCCGGTGAGAGGAGGCAACAGCAAGGGGAGGGACTCACCATGAAGTCCCGGGCGAAGTTGTCCTCCCCATTGTGGTCCGGACTCTTCATAGCCTGGACCCTCTGGATGAATTTCCTCAGGATCTCCACTTGCTCCATCCTCCCGCGTCCCCCCGGCTGCGGTCTCTGGCCCCCCCGCCGCCCGCCCGCCCGGCGCAGAGCCCGCTCAGTCTTCCCCAGCTCGCCCCCCCTACCCGTCCCGTCTTTCCCGACCCCTGACGCTCCCTGCTCCTCCCTACCGCCCAAGGCAGCGGCGGCACCGGCGGCACCAGCCCGGCTCCCGATCCTACAACTTCCAGGAGCAGCCACTCTCACAGTAGTAGCCGAGCCGCAGCGGCTAGCGCCAACCCCAACCCCCAGCTTGCTCCATCCTCCTTCCCCGCCCTGCTCCTGCTCCGTCGGAGACGCAGCCACCGCCTTAGGAACACGGCTCTCCGATCGCCCTGCCCCCCCCCCCAACCCCTTCCCGGTTCCTCCTTCCCTCCCTCCCGACTAGCAACCGCAGCCGCCACTCTCCACGGGCGCGCCCCCGCCGCCACCCAGACGCGCGGCCCCGCGCAGCGGCTAGATCCCCGGGGCTACACCGAGCTGAGCCGCGCCCGCTTGCCACGCCCCCAAGCCCGCCCCGCCGGTCCTAGCCCGGCTAGGAGTGGCTGGAAGGCGCTTCAGCCGTCAGCTGGGAGACTTGACCTCATTTCCGGGGCGTGGTTCCGCCGCAGCAGTTTGCAGGTCTTAGGAGAGGCGGTTGGAGGGAATTCGACTCCGCCGGGCAGACCCTAGTCAGTTGGAGTAGGACTTGAGTTGGAAACTGCCGTCTTACCGCCTTTTTGTGGAAAAAGCACATTTCTAGACTGCGTGCGCGCCGCCGCCAGCTGTGGGCTGGGACTGCAAGTCCCGGCCGGCTAGAGTCCTGGAGTAGGGGCGGGAGAGGGCGGCGGTGGGAAGAGAGGCATGCTGGGAACTGTAGTGTCTTCACGTTCGCAGCAGGTACGTCTTCATCTTAATGTTGACGGCAATTAGATCTTGGCACTTTGGGCAATGGCTACGGCCAAGAGAAACGAAGCGCTTCTTCAGTGAGAGGACTTTTTTGCTTTTTTGCAGATCAGTCTAAAACCTGGCGAATGAGCGCCTGAGATTCACAATGTGTCCTAATACATACCACACACGTTTGCTGAATTGGAGAGAATTTGTCTTCTTGCCTTTAGATTCGGAGCAACTCAGAACTGAATAATAGATTTTTCACCATAGAATGCATCTTTGTAAGTCTTCTAGTAATCAAAGAAGTCTGTCCTAGTCTCATTCACCATTTTACAATGAAAGTGTTTGCTCATGGTCCCCCAGTATATTCTTAGCGGAGCCCAAGCTAGAACTCAGATCCTTTTTATCTCACCCGCACCGTGTTACCTCTCACTAAGAAGAGTAAACGTGATAATGTGACTGAAGTGAAAGACCTGATCCATGAACTTCTCTAGGTCACTTTCTTTTTTTCACTATACCCACAAACAACGCTTTTTCCAGATAAGATTGGTTAGGCAATTCGGTTAAAATAAATATCAGTAGCAAGCCCCGTTTTCCAGATGAATGTTTAGAAGCACCGTGGAATTTAATAATAAACTTGAAGAAAACAGGTGTGAGTAGCAAGATCCAATTTCCTATTTGTTTTAAAGAAAAATATTTCTTTTTAAAATAATACAACTGATACATACCAATCTACTCTTCTTCTCAGAAAGAACCACTTCCAGATGTGTCCTTCCAAATGCCTTCCTGTGCATTTGTATACAGGTATGTGCATATAAAAAGATACAGTTTTGTCTTATATTTAAAAAAAGAGTCCCCTTAGAGGAATAGTTAAATTTCTGAGGTGAGCTTTTCAAACAAGGATCTGTAGTATTTTAATCATATTATTGAGACTCACTGGATATGAGGAAAGATTAAGATCTGGATTCGCTCATCCACCAGTATAGCTCACTATAGGGTACCCTTTTCCCCTAGAACTAGACAAGAAATTAGACTGTGAGCAGAGAAATGGGCAGATGATCAGGACTGCCTCTACTTTTGATATGTCAGAAGAATGTGCAAATCAGATTGATAAAGATTATATGCTGGACAAACTATATCAGTCTAGTGACAGTGGGGTGGAAAGTGTTAACTTGTTGAGTTATCCAGCCCCATTTTGGCTGATGGTTTTGCTGGGGCTTTTTTGGTTTTGTTTTTAATTTTTCTTATTACAAGTTTCTCTCTCTCTCTCGCAACACGAGTGTCTCCAGATCTCAGCAGCTACCTTTGGCATCTCATGTAGGTTAGGGAAAGCTAAAGTACCCTTATGGATTTCAGGTCTTTCTGGCCGTGTATGAGTAAGTTGTGAGGTAATAAGGGGAGAGAATGGAATGAACACTTTTGGGAGGCAATACATGACACAACAAAAGCTGAAACTAAGATCATAGCACTGCAATTACAGAGACTCAGAAGGAGGTGAGAGAGAATGAAAGAACTCACAGAACTCAGTGACTGATTTAGTGGGCAAAAAAAGAAGGTGAAATTTTAAAATAACTAAAATTACCAGAGTAGAAGAGATCAGAAAGTTTGACAGAACACGAGGCTGTGCATGGTATGGACAAATAGAGACTTTTGCACAGATGGTGTGAGAAACTGGCACACCATCTTTGGAAGCAGTTTGCCCTTGTGTGTGTGTGTGTGTGTGTGTGTGTGTGTGTGTTAGTTGCTCATTGATCTCTTTGCAGCCCCATACCCCATTAACTGTAGCCTGTGAGACACCTCTGTCCATGGAATTCTCCAGGCAAGAATACTGGAATAGGTTGCCATTCCTTTCTTCAGGGGATCTTCCCAACCCAGGGGTCAAACCCAGGTCTTTCATCTTGCAGGCAGATTCTTTCCCATCTGAACAACCAGAGAAGCCCAATTTGGCCATGTGTGTGAGTGTGTTAGTCACTCACTCATGTCCTACTCTTTGCAACCCCTTGGACTGTAGCCCACCAGGCTCCTCTGTCCATGGGATTCTCCAAGCAAGAATACTGGAGTGGGTTGCCGTTTACTTCTCCAGGGGATCTTTACAACTCAAAGATCAAACCCATAAATGTGTCAAAATGAAAATGTCATGCATACTTTGACTAAAAAATTTATTGATAATATTTAGAGCTGTGTACAAGCATATGTACTTTATACAGGCTTATTTGTAATGGCAAGAGTGAAAACAGTGTACCTGCCTATCAAAAGGGCACTGGTTTTAAAAAAATGGCATATTTAAGTTCTATGAAGCCATTAAAAAATGAAAAAAATAGTCTGTGTTGAGGTCAAATAGGTTTCAGAATCTGCTTATTAAGTGAGAAAAGCTTGGCACACATTGCGTTCATGTTATTCTATTTATGTAAAATGGAATTTGGATAAAATATGAATAAAATGCTTGAACATGCATAGAATTTTTCTGAAATATACTTCAAAAACTGTTAGCTGTGATTTCCTCTAGGAGGACCTTGAAAATCTTTGGTAGAAAGGATACAACTTCCAATGAGCATACTCTGTTATATTCCTAGTATTTTAGTATGTGTGTGCATTACTTTTCAAACAAAGTTAAATCTATTTAATTAAAAAATGTTTAGACTTTCAGTATAGGCAATAGGAAGAATGGCAATATCTTTAATAGAAATACACAAAAAAGGAGGAAGCACATCTTGTCTGGGTGATGTTTTAAAATGGCACAGGCTGTTTCAGAATATCCACCTACTTATACCACAGTTCCTAAGGAATGTGACTGCTCTACCCATTCACAGCCAAGGATTTGGGTGCTTGACCCAGGTTACCCAACCCATGTTGACTGACCAGCAGCCTTGACCTGATGTAGGAATGTGATCTGGGAGTGTCAGTTCTCACTGTTAAGAACTGGAACTTAAAACCTAGAGAGAGTAAGTCATTAAGCTCAAGGGCAGAAGCTGAATGCCCTGGGGTAGAATTAGGGATTTGACAAACCCTGTGAGAAGAGTAGGAAGTATGGAGAATCCGGTTAGTCAAGAAAGGAGCATTAAGTAAGCATACAGAAATAGGTAAAGATGTCACCTTACACGCATGTGGCCATGGCAGAGATGGGGAGAATCTCTGGGACAACTTTATTTCCTTGTACTTTCTAAGGCAGGTTCTGTATTCCAGTGGTCAATTCTGCTTTTCCTGAAATACAGTAGGGCAGTAATAAAGATCATGGGCTCTGAAATGAGAGAGATGAAGATTCAAAAACCCATTACATTTCTTAACTCAGGGAAAATAACTTAACCTTGACTTTAAGCCTTAGTTTCATCTTCTAGAAATGCTAGCTGGTGCTGTCTTAACACGATGTGTTTCAGAATTAGTGTACTACACCTTATACTTACTTATAGAAAACACAAAATAAGAACTGGTTAAACAAAGAGGGGAACAACAGAGGGTGAGATGATTGGAGGGCATCACAGACTGGATGGATATAAGTTTGAGTAAGCTCTGGGAGTTGGTGATGGACAGGGAAGCCTGGCGTGCTGCAGTTCGTGAGGTCGCAAAGAGTTGGAACACAACTGAGCGACTGAACTGAACTGAAAGAAAGATTTAATGATTTCCAGATCTTTTATTTTTTTGCCCCAACCTCTCTTCTTTGGTTCTTCCCCTACTCAATAGTAACCTTCACTGTGGGTGAATATGTGAGGGGTGAGAAGAAAGCCAAATAATGTTTTAAAAGATCTCCCTTAGTACTTTTGTGAAGATTTTAGTGGGAGTTTAAAACTAATAATCTGAAAGAGAGTTCAGGATTATATATCTATTTCATATTCATAGTGTTCCTTCCCCTCCTAGCTCAGGTGGAAGTAATGCTTTATATCTATATAGAAATTTAAACTTTGTCATATTGTTACATCTACTGTCATAAAAACTGCCCTTGTTATAGCTTTCATAGTTGTAGCTCTATGTGAGTTCTGGTTTTTTTCTATTACCTGCAAAGTTATTTGGCATCTCTGATTCATTAATAGATGAAAAACTGAATAAAACATGGGAGTGAACCTGAGTAGCTCATGTGAAAAACAAATGGCAGGTGCATGACCAGAAGCCACAGGTCTGAGTTTCCA